TCCTGCTGGGAGCTAAATGACTTTTTAATGCATGGACTGCAAATGTAATTATTTTTCAGGCTTTGAAATGTTGATTTCCTTCACTGCTCAACCCCCTGCTTTTTCACCAGCCACGTGCAACAGACTGTCTGTTCATCCAGGCACTCGGTCTTCCTAGAAGCAAACAGAAGGGAACTTTTAAAGTGAATGCTTAAGTCAGTTTTTAGTCCTATCATGAATGTGTGTCTGCCATGCAACTTCAAGTATGACAGAATAGTATGCTCAGGATTGCATAATAACGTGAGGAAGGCGTAAAGAAATAATAAGCTGCTGCTTTTTAGAAGTGAACCTCTAGTTCAGCCATTAGAAGGAGATTCAGTGAACAATGTATGTTGGTAAAAATATGATGGTACACTCAGTCTGAAGGCTGCTTAGCAGAACTTACCTGGCATTTCCACAGTTGTGTGGTCAAGGTTTTTTTTTAATAAAAGAACTCATGATGTGTATTACTTTATTAAGAATACATAAAAATAGCCAAATGGAAATAAACCATTGGCCATGGTGCTAGTTTCTGCTTGCTAATGGAAATTGTCTTGCTGAAAGTCTGAAGCTGATTATTATTTGGAGTGGAGAAAACAGTGCAAATGCAAGCAAGTTATTGTGATACTGTAGCTTTGTTTTATGTTCCTGACCAAATTTCATAGCATAGTATCCAAATGAAAAACCCATGGAAAATAAATACTGAAAGCTGGTTCAAGCAAACTTTCTATTTGAAAAAAAATAATTGTCTTGTGTTTTCAGAGTGTGTGTGGAAACCCTGTTACCTGATGGAGTACTGTTTTGCATTGACTGCCTTGCACATAAGCATGACATGGCAATGGATGATGTGTTTCGTGATGAAAAACTGGTCATGCATGTACAGAGTATTTCCCACTGGGCACCTGCTAACATAGGACCTTACAGTCAGTCCATCAAGGTAGGGAATCTGTGTTATTTCATGTGAATTATATGTCAGTTTACTGAAACAAGTACAATTAGACAGTGTCCTCATCTGAATGTGCAAAAGAAATTGTGTAAAAAAAATAATTAAAAATTAGCATTTTCAATGTATGTTTTTGAAAGTTACAGACAAACCCAAAACTTAATCCCCATTAAGTCTTTTGTGATCATAAAACAGATTAAACTATTCTCTGCAGAGAATCTCAAGAATAGCCTTCTTTTGTTGTATATTAGAATGAGACCAAATATCACACATACACTTTTAGTCAAGCGACATTATTTTCCCATAAAGTGTAAATAAGTGTTTTTACTTTTAAAATCTAATGACCACAGGAATAAAGAAAAAAGCTGCAAAAAGAATAAAGAAAAGCTGCAACTCTGCTACAAGATCGCTCATCATCCTTTATGGCTAAATTCTGTCTCAAATCCACAAACTTTGCTGTATGGGCAATTGGTAATACACTAGGGACTAGAGGAAAAGTCTTACGAGGAGACACTGAGGGAGCTGGGGTTGTTTAGAAGACTCAGGGGGGACCTTATCACTATCTCTAAATACCTGAAGGGAGGTTGTAGGATTTGAGCTCTTCTCAAAGGCAACGATGGGACGAGAAGGCATGGCCTGAAGCTGCACCAGCAGAGGTTGAGGTTGGATATTAGGAAACACTTCCTCATGGGAAGGGTGATTAGATATTGGAATGGGCTTCCCAGGGGAGTGGCAGAGTCACCATCCCTGGAGGTGTTTAAGGAAAGACTGGGTGCTGCACTTAGTGCCATGGTCTAGCTAATGTGATGGTGGTAGGTCATAGTCTGGACTGGATGATCTCAGAAGTCCGTTCTGGCCTCAACGATTCTGTTATTTTGTGGACACAGAGGAATCATAATGTGTTTTAGTACAGTGTTTTTGCTCAGTTCAGAATAGGACAAGAACTGTATTATGCAGAGTATTGCAAGATGAGATTGATGTGCACTGGCATGTAAGAGCAGAGCAGGCAGCAGAAAGAGGTAGGTAGTTCGTGCAAACTATGGAATTCACACTTTAGGCTCAACAAATCACTCAGCAGAGCATCAGTTTAAATCTGTAGGGAACTTGCAGGATCCTGCTATGAGGACAAAAACTGAAAATTTGAAATTTACCATGAGAATGTCCAGACCTTAGTCTGATAAACACCAAACAATGGTAACAGAATTAAATTAGGATTTTCAAAGTACTTATAGCAAAATTTAATATTCTTCCTCCTTTGGGATTAATGTTCTTCAAAAAAAACCTTCAGTATTTCTACTTATAAGAAGTAGACATACACTGTTGTGTAATAGTATGACTGACTTTCTTATCATTATGAAAAAACTGAGATAATTTAATATATATTTTATTGTTCCATTTGTTTTATTAGTGCAGAAACCTTTGCCAGTCTTAATGTCTATATTAGCAACTGGAATGTAAGCTACATGAGAGTTATTGTAAAGGCTATATTTCTGATCTCAGTGATGTATAGCAAATGTTCTGATTGTGTATGGCTAATAGTAGTACCACTGCTACTACAGACTACTCTGTCTGGAAATATGATGATACATGGTTTGCCTACCTTCAAATCTTTGTTCCATAGTGAGCACCAGCCCGGTTTGTGCTTGTGACTGGTAGTAGCTCTATAGTCTTACTAAATGTACCTTCTTACTGTTGTTTATCAGATTATTAGGGTTTTTGTTTCGTGTTTTCATACTGTTTTACCAGTAGATTTGAGGAGTTGCCAAGAATAAGCAGTGATTAGTAGCTTGTGTGGAAACAGCTTGCTTACCAGCTTCACAGAACCTAACAGCAGAGTTCTGTATCAAGCAGTTAAACATGAAGATGCACTGCAAAGCAGTGTTGGGGGGGTGAGAACTTACTGATGATTATTTTGTGAGAACATTCTTTGAGCGTTTATGATCTATGAGCATAGCTCATATAATAAACATAAATATAAAAATGCTTGGCAATCCCAAGCAAAAATACAGTCTGGGTGGAGAGTGGGTCAAAAACAGTCCAGAGGGGCAGAACTTAGGCGTGATGGTGGACGAGAAGCTCAACATGAGCCATCAATGTACGCTTGCAGTCCAGAACACCAACTGTGTCCAGGGATGCATCAAAAGAAGTGTGACCCGCAGGTTCTCTTCTCCACTCTTGTGAGACCCCACCTGGCGTACTGTGTCCAGTTCTGAAGCCCCCAACATAAGAAGGACATGGAATTCCTCGGGAAAGTCCAGAGGAGGGCCATGAAGATGATCCAAGGGCTGGAGCACCTCTCCTATGAAGACAGGCTGGGAGAGTTGGGGTTGTTCGGTGTGAAGACGAGAAGGCTCCTGGGGGTACCTCATAGTGGCTTTCCAGTATCTGAAGGGGGCCTACAGGAAAGCTGGGGAGAGACATTTTTTAAGGGCTTGTAGTGAAAGGGCAAAGGGTAATGGATCAAACTGGAAGAGGGGAGATTCAGGTTAGAGATTTGGAGGAAATTATTTCCTGTAAGGGTGGTGAGACACTGAAACAGGTTGCCCAGAGAAGCTGTGAAAGCTGCATCCCTGGAAGTGTTCAAAGGCCGGTTGGATGGGGCTCTGAGCAACCTGATCTAGTAAGAGGTGTCCCTGCCCATGCAGGCGAGTTGGAACTAGAGGGTCTTTAAGGTCCCTTCCAACGTAAACCATTCAATAATAATAACAACAACAACAATAACAATAAGAAAACCCAGGACAGCTGAAACACTAAACACAAATACTTATCTAAGAATGAGTGAAAAGTTGATCTGTTTGTACCAGATGTTCTTCTAGTATGTACTATTTAAAGTAATATAAAAATGTATTTGCACTTACAGTTTGTTTGTTTTGGCAAAGTTTCTTAACATTTTTCTATCTGGAAATGAAGAAATAAGCAGCCACAGTAATATATCCTACTCTCATATTTCTACAATATTTTTTGATGGTGACATGACATTTTAAACACATACCTACATCTATGCATCTATGGCTTGATTATTTCAGCTGAATTTTTGAGCTTTTCACTATGACCTCAGTCCTTTCCCGCTCACCACTGCCAAATCCCAATTTTCAGCCATCCTTCAGGTATCTTTTTCTCAGTTTTCTCCTCCACACTGTCTGAACAGTGTTCTTATTCTGTGATTTCAATGTCTAGACCCCTATAACTTGATCACAGTGTTCTTTTTTTCTGTTTATTGACCTTACAATAAATTTTTCTTTCCTTTCATTTTTCTGTTCATTAAGTTGTGATAAATTAGTGAGGAAGTACTGTGGGAATGGAGAATCTTGCATCTGGTTTCAGGCGGTGGTACCTGCAGTGGCTCTAATGTTTTCTTTCTGAGAAGACTTAGTTCAGTCTCTTGCAGTGAAACTGAAAATGGTCCAGTAGAGCTTAGGGCACAATATATAGCAGATGGCTTTAAAAGGAGGAGGTGATTTTGGAAATAGCCTCATCTATTAAGTACACCAGTAAAGATTACCTGGCTATTAAACTATCTGTGTGGCTGCAGTTTTCCAAAAACTGTTGTTAAACAAAATGGCTATTTTAGGTAATCCATGCATTTAGGGATGTAGGGTTTATCCTGTGAAGAAGATCAGCTGAAGAGGAATGAAGGTAGGAATTTTCTCACATCCTTCTAATAGTGAAGCAATTAGGGATTGAAAAATCTTCAAGGTATGGTTCTTAAAGATATAGTTAACCCTTTAAAATGCTCCTTTTTCACATGCATATATTTGTTTGTTTGCTTCCTTCCTTCCCATCTTTTCCTTTTGTGAAACAACAACATCCTATTATGTTATACCCTATGTAGTAACAGGAGGTAGAATGCCTGGAGCTTCCACAGGGTGGAAAAATGATGGTCAACAAGTCAGTGTCTAAATAGTATTCCCCTGGGATTGATACTTAGGCAGATACTGTTTAGTATCTTAATCAACATCTTGGAAAATGGGATTGAACACATGCCTAGTGGGATTGTGGATGACAGTGATTTTAGTACTGGTTGATGCATTGGAGGAAGGGTCTGTCATTCGGAGATACCTAGACAGGCAACTGATAACCTCATGAAATTGAACAGAAATTAAGGAAGAGACTTTCAGCTAGCATGAAATAGTCCCACACAGCATTAGACTGGTGTCCAGGGGGGACTGACCGTCTAGGTAGTAAATCTGCGAAGAAGTATCTAGAGATGCTGATTGCCAGCAATCTAAATATGAACTGGAAGTTAACCAATGAATGCTAACTAAACACAAGGCTGCATTAGCAAGGCTGTAGCCAGCAGGTCTTCAAAACCTGACTGCACAAGGCCCTCAGCAAACTGGTCTAATGTCTAAGTTAGCCCTACTCTAAATATGAGGTTGAATTAAACAACTCTGGAGGTCCTTTCTAACCTATTTTTTAATCAGATTCTATGATTAATATTAAAATTACAGATTTACTGACAGAATAACAGAAGGGAAACAGCATGATTATAGAAAAAAGAAGTCCTTGCTATAAAACTTTCTCTTCAAGAGATCATTAGTGGTACTGTATGAAAGAGCACTTAGGACACTGTAATTTTAGTAGATGAAAGTAAGTCACAGTCCAATGGCACTGGCATGTCACTCCTTCATAAGTAATCTTGTCACTGATCAAAAAGTTTTTGTTGTTGCTTCTTTAGCCATTGCCAGGAAAAAAAGCTGTGTAAAGTTAGGGCAACTTGCAAACTGTTCTAAATTGTATGGAGACTGTAAGTGCACAAGTCAGGAAACAATGGGACAAAACTGAACTTTTCATCTTTGCTGTTGATTTCTCTTATGTGTCATATACTTCTTAGCTGAAAATTAACTGACCTGACTGTGAAACATTGTATGTAATTAGTACGGTTGGCTGAAATGTGGATCAAAACTGTGTACAGCTACTGAGGAACGTGGTGTACAGTCATACCCAGTATCACAAAGTCCACCAAGTTGCAGAGGGTAACAGTATATTACATC